CATGCAGGAAAAGGATATGAATAGAAGGGATATATATATATATATATATATATATATATATATATATATATATATATATATATATATATATATATATATATATATATATATATATATATATATATGTATGTGTGTATGTGTGTGTGTGTGTGTGTGTGTATGGACATGAACAGTGCTATTGTTGTTGGTATAAGTTCTGCAAGCGACCGACTTCTACCCTAAACCTAACTACTGAGTAATGGCTAGTGAGAAACATTTGGTGTTATCCAACCTCGTATCCCCAGCTAATCAAGACAGGTCTAGAATCAAGCTTCCTGCACAATTCTATGAGAGAAAAAAATCCGTACGCTTTCTGCCCAGTGAGCTTGAAATTAACAAATTGCATTCATTCAACCACATATTTAATCTTTCGCCTTTCCAGATTTTTTTTTCGGGGGATTTTTTTTTTCTTTTCGAAAAAAAAATGCATCTACATCGCGATTTGCTAATTTTCTACATTGTAATATTCAATCAATTTTTACCCCAATTTTCGCGCATTGTGTGAGAAATGCGTCCATGAAACCATTAGCCGAGTTGTTTTTTTTCTCTAGCCGCATGAACGTAAATCTTTAGGACGCCATCTTAACACCGTGTATTTTATTGTCCTATAAAACTTCTGATTTATGGTTATATTTGCTCCAAGCACTCTCACAAAATGTGCGTTAATTAATTATCATCGAATTCAGCCACACACATTCAATCAATTTTTTTTCTTGATAATCTTTTTTTAATCAATATTTCAAACTAATAAGAAATCAATATTAACTACTTGCTATTAAAATATGATTTTTTAAAACAAAATTTACATGTTATCTCATAAATATGAAGTTATTTTTTTAATGGCGCTCCTAGGGAGGGTGGGTGTGGGTGTAGAGTCCCCCATCTCCCCCATACGAACGATAAAGTCTAAATCAGCCTGTGGTTGAAATTATCAATGTTTCCGGTTTTAAGAAATAATGGGTTTCAAGCTAAACCTCTTCTTTTTTTCTGGAACATTCTCTCCAGTTTATATTTTTATGCTAACTGTGGCGTAGGATGATGTTCTCTGTTCTGGGTAAACCCTCATCAGTCTGTCCTGTGGTGTGACACTAGAAAGCTGTGCTCTGCCCTGCTCTATAGCATCTTAATGCTAATCTAAATGTTTAAATAAATATTCGCGCTCAACTATGAGCCATAGTTTTGTGTTTTGTCTAGTGTTCTGGCTGGTTTCTGTTTTGTATGGTTTCTACGGTGGATGATTTCTGGTGAAGCCCATTTATACCAATTTGGTTTTACTAAAACATACCCAATACTATTTGAGTCTCTCTCTCTCCCCCTCCCCCAGAGTGTATTGGTCTTGTGTTCGCGATTGCTTGATGGTTAGTGCTCAGTGGATAGTGGTGTGCAAATAGTCTTGCCCATAGTGTCTGAATAGTGTTGTGCGAATAACGTTGAGTGAATTTTGCTACGTGAATAGTGTTGTTTGAATAGTGTTGTGTGAATAGTGATGTGCAAATAGTCTTGCCCATAGTAACTGAATAGTGTTGTGTGGATAGTGCTGTGTGGATAGTGCTGTGTGGATAGTGTTGTGCGAAGAGTGCTGTGTGAAGAATGTTAAATCATTAGTACTCAGTCGTAAAGTCTGCTATCACCAACGAACGTTTTCAGTCTGTATTCCAATTATACACCCCACAACACGGCCAAACGTATTAGCGGCGCCCTCATTGGGGTCTCATTGATCGGCCTTGAGAGGCCGAGAACCGGAAATTGACCAGTGGTGTGGACAGATGACCAGGGGCAGTAAGGCGATCTCACGTGACCTGACGTAATGCTGCCCTGGACGTTCGAGGCGACATCCTCGGGTTCAATTAAAAGTAAAGGTTGGATTAGCACCTGAAACGAAATTCCACACGGGGTATCCCAATTACTAACTGAATATAATTAAAAACTTTAATAGGATATATAATGTTCACGCAGTAGAATTATAATATTAAATTTCATTTGAATTTATGAAAAAATATCTGTAGCTTACTAAAAGCGTTTTCAGTCCTAAATTTGGGGCTATTTTTAAAGCTGGAAAAATAAATAAAAAATTGATAACATATATGTTGTGAGTGTGAATGATAATGCATTACATAAAAATTCTAACGATATATAGTGTTTTGTGATACCATAACCAAGTATTTCATTGATGCTTTATAAATACGTAAGAAGTCACCACAAACTTCATTTTTGTAGTTACTCAACTACAAGATCAGAACATCGTTTCTACAATCAAACATAAACTTGACATAGTTTTCAATGCACGTTTAAATTTGGTCTAGTATTTTATATATGCGAGCTAAATAAACAGAAACCTTCACGTATTTAGTAAAACCAGACCTATATGATAACACAAAGCATTGTATTTTCCCCACGCTTTGAGTCTGCTAGATTCGAGTAGAGCTTTTAAGATTTTGATGTTAAAATTATCCTTTTGACTCCCTTTTTCCCAACTTTAAAGATCGTGATGTTAAAATTAGCCGCCTGACTCCAGCCTCACAAACTTTAAAGATCGTGATGTTAAAATTATCCTTTTTTACTCTCATCTCCCCAACTTTAAAGATCGTGATGTTAAAATTATCCTTCTGATTCCCCCCTTCCCCAACTTTAAAGATCGTGATGTTAAAATTATCCTTTTGACTCCCATTCTCCCCAACTTTAAAGATCGTGATGTTAAAATTATCCTTCTGATTCCCCCCTTCCCCAACTTTAAAGATCGTGATGTTAAAATTATCCATCTGACTCCCCCTTCCCCAACTTTAAAGATCGTGATGTTAAAATTATCCATCTGACTCCCCCTTCCCCAACTTTAAAGATCGTGATGTTAAAATTATCCTTCTGACTCCCCCTTCTCCAACTTTAAAGATCGTGATGTTAAAATTTATCCTTTTGGCTCCCGCCTCCCCAACTTTAAAGATCGTGATGTTAAAATGTATCCTTTTGACTCCCTTTTTCCTAACTTTAAAGATCGTGATGTTAAAATTATCCTTTTGACTCCCATTTCCCCAAGTTTAAAGATCGTGATGTTAAAATGTATCCTTTTGACTCCCTTTTTCCTAACTTTAAAGATCGTGATGTTAAAATTTATCCTTTTGGCTCCCGTGTTCCTAACTTTAAAGATCGTGATGTTAAAATTAGCCGTCTGACTCCCCCTTCCCCAACTTTAAAGATCGTGATGTTAAAATTTATCCTTGACTCCCATTTCCTTAACTTTAAAGATCGTGATGTTAAAATTAACCGTCTGACTCCCGCCTCCAACTTTAAAGATCGTGATGTTAAAATTTATCCTTGACTCCCATTTCCCCAACTTTAAAGATCGTGATGTTAAAATTATCCTTTTGACTCCCATTTCCCCAACTTTAAAGATCGTGATGTTAAAATTATCCATCTGACTCCCCCTTCCCCAACTTTAAAGATCGTGATGTTAAAATTTATCCTTTGGACTCCCATTTCCCCAACTTTAAAGATCGTGATGTTAAAATTAGCCGCCTGACTCCCATTTCCCTAACTTTAATGATCGTGATGTTAAAATTAGCCGCCTGACTCCCATTTCCCTAACTTTAAAGATCGTGATGTTAAAATTAGCCGCCTGACTCCCATTTCCCTAACTTTAAAGATCGTGATGTTAAAATTAGCCGCCTGACTCCCATTTCCCTAACTTTAAAGATCGTGATGTTAAAATTAGCCGCCTGACTCCCATTTCCCTAACTTTAAAGATCGTGATGTTAAAATTAGCCGCCTGACTCCCATTTCCCTAACTTTAAAGATCGTGATGTTAAAATTAGCCGTCTGACTCCCGCCTCCCCAGGTCGTTACAGATGCCTCGCCGATCGATCGTGCGGTGAAAAATTCAATGCGCTTCCTAACGATTCAATTTAAATTCACAAAAGGAGAATGTGCCAACAAACGGCTTCAGTGCAAACACCGCAGCCAATGCGCATGTCAGTGGGAATTGAAATACATCTCGCCATTGTCGGAAATTTCGTTACCACTCGCGTCGGTCAGAAATAGATGTGTCGCAATTCTTCAGGCATTGTTATTTCGGTGCGGTTTAACTTCGATGAAAGAGATCTCGCACGATTTAACTTAAAAAAACATGTTTAAAAAGTTCCCTTTCAAACCTGACGGTCTATAGGGCAAGTGAAGTAGAGTTCACTTGTTTCTGTGACCTCGGCATTATACCCAGCCGCCTTTACTTTCCCTAAAATATGTTTATTTTTTTTAAAACGTCGTCTTAAAGGCTTGCTGTTAAGTAAAAATGATAATTCAGTTTTATTGTTCATGGTTATTGATAACTTTTTAGAACGCGCACTGGTGTCGCATTAATGACGGGGTTTAAAATTAAATTGGGCGCTTTAGAGGAAATAAGATTTTTCACAATAAATGTGTAGCGAGGACAAAAAGAGTATTTGATAATTTAATGGCTGACCAGTGATCGCAAAGTTTAATGCTTTAGCCATTTGCACGGTAACTGTTGAGTTTAAAATAAGTTTTTTTTCAGCTTTATTAACACTTAACTGAATATATTAAAAACGTTAACTAAATGAACAAAAACACATTTAAACCAGCGTTACTAGTAAACATTAACGTCATACGAATGCTGCCTGTATGTGGTTTAGATAACTTACCAAAGAAAACATAAGACAAAATCATGTCAGCACTTGTATGTAGAAGAATGTATTTATCCAGGTGGGCATAGGAGACGGATGGACACTTGTTTCCACCTAACCACTTTCTATAAATTCCCTTTACATACAATGTAAAAGTTTAACAAAAATGCAATAATTAATTAATTCTACTCCTGTTTTAGATCAGTTTCAATTATTTAGAACCAGAATTATTTTTTTAAATCTCTTAATTAGTATTCTAATTTAAATCTCAAATTTTTTTAAAATAATTTTTTTTATCTCTTTCAAATTTTTTCCTTGCCAGGTTCGGATCTCTCAAGCATTAACTTTCCACCGAGCCCAACCCCCCTCAATGCTGCTGTCGCCCAACATGTCTGCTAAAGTTGAAACGTTTTCCTCGGTAGCCGGACAAATGGCGGACACGTCCTTACAGAAGAGATGTTCCTCCAATGAAATGACCGGATGAGATCGGACCCAAGGTGATCATTAAGTCCGTTTCATTTTATTATTTTTCACATCACTGATCCGAAACTTTTTTAAAAATTAAAAATTCTTTGACCCGAAATGGGGCCACAGCTTACCTTGCATGCTGTTTCTGGTTCCACCATTTCTTTTCTCTCCTGGTCACGTGACAGTATAGGACTTGTGGGCGTAGTCTTCGTTTGTTAGATCTATTCCCGGAAATCTGACATTTAGTTCCTAACACATTTTAAATTGGTGTTTCTACTTCTGTAAGGGAGCTAACAACCGATTTTTGTTTTAAATTCGTTGAAATGTCCTATAATTCATAAATAAGTGACTCTTATAAAAGCTGGACGGCTGTTGTTATAAAAAAAATGCTAATGTTTGTTTGAAAAATTATTCCAAGTGAAATTAATCAAATGTTTCACGTTTTATAAGTAACGCTTGGTAGCTCAGTAAAAAGAAATCGATCTATCAATCTATCTAGTTTAACACATATAGCCACGGTTTTATTTCGACGTCCACTCTCACATTTCTCGCCATCCTAATTTATTTTGGTGTATTCACAAAAAATCACAGGGACTTCGTACCTTTACTTCCGGGTATAACATTTCTGACGTCACATGTGTTCCGTATAATTCCCTCTGACGTAACCGTTTGCAGCCCAACCTCTCTGATCTCGCACCACCACCTCCCACCCAGCCCGAACCAAATCGTTTCTTTCCTTTTTTTTTCACCTCTGATTTGCTTACCTAAAATTTCAAAATTGTCTTCAAGGAAGACTTGGATTTTTTTGCTGCCAAAGGCACCGGGGGATTAATGGCGTCGGTCGCCGCCTGGCTGCCCTTTGCCAGGGCATCCGCCATCGGCTGGGTGCCCATATCCCAGAATCCCCTCCCCACCCCTACAGTCCGCCCGGAAACACGGCGAGGGGATGAGAAGCTCAAGATCAACGTCAGCGGGCGACGGTTCGAAACCTGGCGAACCACGTTGGAGAAGTTCCCGGATTCGCTGCTCGGCTCTAACGAGAAGGAATTCTTCTACGACGAAGATTCCGGGGAGTATTTCTTCGACCGCGATCCTGATATCTTCCGGCACATCCTGAATTACTACCGCACGAGCCGGCTGCACTACCCCAAGCACGAGTGCATCAGCGCCTACGACGAGGAGCTCGCCTTCTTCGGGATTTTACCGGACATCATCGGCGACTGCTGCTACGAAGACTACCGAGACCGGAAACGGGAAAACAGCGAGAGGTTGATCGACGACGAGAAGAGCGAGAACGGCGACTACGACCCGGCCATCTGCCTCCGGGAAAAAATGTGGCGGGCGTTCGAGAACCCGCACGTCGGCACCGTCGCTTTAGTCTTCTACTACGTCACCGGGTTTTTCATCGCCGTCTCCGTCATCGCCAACGTCATCGAAACGGTCCCGTGCGGGAAAGTCCGCGGGGCTAGCAAAGAAGATTCCTGCGGGGAGCGATTCTCCGTGGCGTTTTTCTGTCTAGACACCGCCTGCGTCATGATCTTCACGGCGGAGTATCTTCTCCGGCTCTACGCGGCTCCGGACCGGTGCAAGTTCATGCGCAGCGTCATGAGCATCATCGACGTCGTGGCCATCATCCCTTACTACATCGGCCTGGCCATTCCCAACAACGATGACGTCAGCGGCGCCTTCGTCACGCTGAGGGTGTTTCGGGTGTTCCGTATCTTCAAGTTCTCCCGGCACTCGCAAGGATTACGTATCCTGGGATACACACTCAAGTCCTGCGCCAGCGAGCTGGGGTTCCTGCTTTTCTCACTCACCATGGCTATCATCATCTTCGCCACCATCATGTTCTACGCCGAGAAGAACCAGGAAGGCACTACATTCACCAGCATTCCCGCAGCATTTTGGTATACCATCGTCACCATGACAACGCTTGGGTGAGTATAATTTTTTTAGCATTCTTACGCTCTCTTTATTTATTTATTTATTTTGTATTACGCAGACGTCATATAATTTAAATTTAATCGACATACTACTAATATCAACTATTTTCTCTCTGTATATCTTTTGTTTTCTCTAAAATAACGCACACCTTTGTTAAACAAATACATATATGCTTTTAGTGTAAGTCTAAATAGCACTAAAACACAATGTTAGCATTACTTACTAAAACATACTGGCACATATATACGTAAGTATGAGTCTACAAAGTACTAAAACACAATGTTAGCATTATTTACTAAGACTAACTGGCACCAGATGATGCTGGTAGTTGTGAAGAGCTCATTGATTCTTCCGGCTCGATTCATTGGTTGATAAAGATTTTTTGTTCACTATTTCATCTGATTATTTTATCCCTTCATATCTGCCCATAAAAACATGCACTGTACCAAATCAATTGAATCGCTGATGTAATAATAATATAATCGATATGCTTGATGTATTGAATTACTGTTGTGTTTATGTTTTTATAAGCAGGCCTACATATGCGCGCGTATACATCTGTATATTTATATGCGTTAGTGTTAATTTTGAGTGTGTATCTAATTTATAAGCAAACGATATTGTCTGTAATTACGCGCAGATGTCAAAATAAAAATGGTTCTAGCTAGTTTAATCTAATTCACTATTTGTATACCCCCTGCGGTGCTTCAGACATATTTGAGACCAGTGACAATATGGCTGACAACAAGAGGGCTTCACGCTAAACCCTGCTGTCAGTAGAAGTTTACTCGCCGTGAAGCTGAAGTAGAAGCATTCGATAGGGCTGGGCAGCCACGGGACAGTTCTGGGGAGGCTGGGAACTATTAGATTTACCCGGGGCAACATTTGTGCGTGTGTTTCTCTGTAGATGTGTCTTCGTGTGAATGTGTGTGTATGTGTCTGTGTGTGTGTGCGTGTGTGTATGTGTGTCAGTATGTGCGTGTCAGTTTTTGTATGTGTTTTCACTATTGTGTGTGTATGTGTGTGTCTGCCACGTGTAAATATTTATGTGTACCTGTGTGGTTGTATGCTTTTGTTCTTGTGCGTGTGTGTTTGTCTGTTTATGTGTGTTGTGCATGCATGTGTGTTAGCTGGAGTGTGTGTGTATGTGTGTGTGTGTATGTGTGTATGTGCGAGTGTATGTGTATTGTGGTGCTTGTATTGTACCTCTCAATTTCAATATACTAATGACCATCTGAGTTAAAAATAGGTTCATTATTAACTCTGTTTTAACGGAACATTTTACTTTTAATTCATCATATTTATTTATGGCAATGGATATATGTAGGAGTGGATACTTTAGAAACCCACAACTTATGAATGCCTATGAATGCAGTTGGTTTAAAAAAGGTTAAAAACATGTAGTTTTGCAAGATGAAATGGTTAAAATGGTATAACAGGGAGGGGAGATGAAAGAAGAGCCATTAAACGTCTGACTTCGTATAATTAGTTTTAAGAATCCCAGTATGGATCTGACGCATCGATTTCCTGGGGGGTCGGGGCTGGCTAGGGAAGCGAGGTGCAGATTTTATTTGGTCTGACCCTTCTAACATTTTCAATCTTTTTTTTTCTTTCTGGAAGCTTCCAGACTTTCTGGAGGATCCGTCGAGGGAAGTCTCTGACACGAGTCACAATATTAGCACCACTTTTCTAGTTTTGTTTTCTAATTGGTTTTTCCCCCTCTCTCACTCTTCGTCTTTCTTTTTCTTTACACATCTCGAGAGTATAGTGATAAAAGTAGAGGTGGTGATGGGGACGAAAGGAGGGAGGGGGGAGTTGTGGATTTACGGAAGTTTGGAGAGGATGGGGAAGGGGGATTTTTAAAAGGGCAGACCTTGCTTGAGTAGAAAGGGAGAAGGGGGTCGTCTCAACAAATCAAGGGTGAACAGGGGGTCGTCTCAAGGAATCAAGTGGGAGCAGGGGGTCGAGCCTAAGCAATAAAAAGAGGGCGGTGGTCGAAGTAATGTACACATAGACAACGTGTACGTACCAACAATGTCCAGGCACCAAAAAGTATGGAGGAGAAAGACAGGGGGGGGGGAGGTGAGTCGTGTTGCATCAGATTCGATCAGTCTAGAAACGATCGGCCACGAACCGACCAAAACCAGTTTTTCGTGATATAATTAAAGCCAAGCTGGGGGGGGAAAAAAAGAATGATCGAGAACAACATTATGCTGTCATTTAAAAAAACAACAAACCCACAGCAAACAAGCTGGAGCGGAAACGGAAATATAGCATTACAGTTCTTGCTTTCAAAGCTGTGTCAAATGTTTAAAAAGAGAAATTTGAAAAAAAAATATTATGGTCAATAAAAACTAAAATACGTTATCGCTTCAATCATTTCCCGTTTTTATTTTTTAACATCTTGCCAGTGTTACATAATGACGTCATTATGACAGGAAGTGACGCGTACGTTTACATAATCTCAAACATTGATTTTTTCCCCCGCTTCGTGTAAGATTTAAAAAAAAAAACTAGTGAAAGAAACCATAACATATTATGTTCAACATTAATAATTCTATAACATATGATAATTTTACCAAAACAAATACGCTCTATAACAAATTGCTCATATTTTTTTTATAAATCTGACCTAAAACATATCAAGTGTGAGCGAATTGAGAAATAAAGCTCACCTGGACGTTTCTAGGTGAGCAGGTGGCCGTGTGTACAGGTGAAAGTTTGTTAGCACGTGCGATTGTTACGTTGTTATACTGAGTATACCTGAACGCTTATTCGAAGTAGATCTGAACGCTTATACTAAGTAGACCTGAACGCTTATACTGAGTAGACTTGAACGCTTATACTAGGTAGACCTGAACGCTTATACTAAGAAGACTTGAACGCTTATACTAAGTAGACTTGAACGCTTATACTAAGTAGACCTGAACGCTTATACTAAGTAGACCTGAACGCTTATACTAAGTAGACTTGAACGCTTATACTAAGTAGACTTGAACGCTTATACTAAGTAGACTTGAACGCTCATACGGACTAGAGTTGAACGATAACCCTAACCATAACACAAGTAAACTTAACGCAGTACATTTTTACATTGTAAAACCGCATGTTGAAATTGTAAAAATTAATTAATTTTTAAGAACCTTGAAAAACAATGTAACTGGGTGTTGTATAGGCAGGAAACCTTTATGACCTCTTTGCCATTCGCCAATTTAATTCATGCGTCCTTTACGGATTAATTGGTTACGTGGCGGATTAACGAAAAACCAAAAAAGCATGAAATTGTATTAAAATTAAAATTCCAAAAATAAAAAACTCATACAAAATAAGTTCAAATTGAAAATTCGCTTTAAAGTATTTTAAAAAAAAAGTTTTTATTATATTTACAGTAAAAAACAAAATACCTGTTTCTGATCTTTATTTACCAAATGTGAAGCGACAGAAAAATTCTGGAAGATTCGCGTGTTTCTTTTAACTAGCCCACCTAGTATTTAATGAGATAGAGTGGTATTGTTTTAGTGGTCGTAGTCCCATAAATTCGCTCCACCCATTCGTGCGATATAGGACAGTTTACTAGCGTAGATCGATTCTACACTGGCAGACTTGAACATTATTTGTGTACCCTTAGGCATTATTGGGGTCATCCAGGTTAGGTGTGGGTCTTAATAAAAAATTTACCTGGGTTTATTTCATGCTAAGGTAGTAGGTAATAGGATTTTTTTTTTTATAAAACCAGTCTGATTGTACTTGTGGTTATTTTTTTTTCAAAATCGATAGATTGTAGGCGTTTATTTTAAAAGGAGAATGCGGCAAACCGATTCTTCCTTCGAAATATTTTATATTTGATAGAGTAAATTTTATTTGCCAATCAACAAACCCTGTTATCGAACGTAGGCTGTGCGTGCATATGTCACGGTACCACGTGAACGTATCACGGGTGCAGGGGCGTAGCGAGGGGGGGGGGGGGCGGGGGGTGCGGACCGCACCGGGTGACACCATTTAGGGGGGTGACACCAAGGCAAAAAATAGCAAAATATATAGAGAAAAACTCGAGGGGGGGGGTGCAAATCGAAAGTTTGAGGGGGGGGGGGTGCAAATCGAAAATTTGAAAGTTTGTCCCTGGGAAGGGTCTCTATGCCTCTGGGGGGGGGGGGGGGTGACACCATTAAGTGCCGCACCGGGTGACACCCGACCTCGCTACGCCACTGCACGGGTGTACGTGATCATGTCACGATGGTACATGAAAATGTCACTTGAACTTGTCACGGTCCCGCGTGAGCACGTCACGCCTGCACGTGACCATGTCACGATTGTACATAAACACGCCACGTCAACGTGTCACGGCTATACGTGAACATGTCACGTGAACATGCTATGACCACGTTTCACTCTCACGCTTGACCAAACCACAACACACGAGCGGGATTTCGCTCACACGCCTCAACATCCGTCACCACTCAACCTTTCAACCAAACCTCCACGCCATCACCACATGTACACAAAACACCGCTGTCGCCTCTTATAGACCCGGCCTTTAAATCAACCCAAAGGCTTGAACACACCAATGTTTTTATTAGAATTTTAAATATGTATACAGTCTGTCCTTAAGACTCTAAAGCTATTACGAGACAATAAAAATAACTTTGATGGCCGTTTTGAAACGTGTTAGCTAAAAACTACACATTTGAATTTATACGAAATAGATATAAGGCTATTTGTTCTTGTCAGCCAACACTTTTAAAAAGCTATCTAACCAAGCAAGCACACCATCAATGCAATATTAATTAAAGAGACGATGACATTTTTAAAGGTCATATTAGCTGATCCATTGAAATGTTAATGGCACTTGATGATGAGGCATACTCACTCACACACATACAAGCATGCAAACATACACACACAAATATGAGCATCACACTTAAATAAAAACATGTACACAACGTACACACATTACGTACATACACATTACGTACACATACATTCACGCACACATTCAC